TTTTTATATAACGGGGGTTTCGTCGATGTTTTCGTTTTTAAGCAATCGCGTACAGGGCGAATAAATCGCGTAAATTTTTTTCCCTCCCTCTTCGAGCACGCCGATTTCCCGTTCGATGGTCGTTGAAATGCGAATTCGAAGCGTTTTCGTCCTCGTCGACGCTTTTTCCTACCAGAAATCGTGTCCTATCAACGGCCGATCGCTCGGCACGGCGCTTCTCTCCCCATTTCTCGGCCCCCCCGGAGAATCCGTTCCGCGTATTGTTCAAATCGAGGGGTTTTCATCTTCTTGTATACACGAGAAACTCGCCCGTTTGTGAGAAAAAAAAGGAAAAAATTCTTGAATAGACACTAACGAATTTAGGTCGACTAGACACTTCCAATTACTGTCATTCAAAACTCTTCTAAAAAGCACACTTTTTATTTTTTTCGGCCTAATATACACTACCAAATTTAAGTTGACTACTCATAGGTTGACTAGACATATCCAAATTACTGTCGCAAACGTCAATTTCAAAAAAAAAATTGACGCTCAGTGTAAAGATGGGAACAAATTATCGAGTGTAAAGATGGCGTTATTTACGTTACAGTATAATTGTTTTCTTTAAAAAAAGAAAAAGATTCTTAAATAGACACTACCGAATTTAGGTCGACTAGACACCAATTACTGTCATTCAACTCTTCTAAAAAACACACTTTTCATTTTTATTTCGGCCTAATATACACTACCAAATTTATGTTGACTACTCATAGGTTGACTAGACATATCCAAATTACTGTCGCAAACGTCAATGTCTAAAAATTTTTGACGTTTAGTGTAAAGGTGGGAACAAATTATCGAGTATAGAGATGGCGTTATTTACGTTACAATATAACAGTTACGTTTCACATTAATACTTTTAAGTAAGATTCATATTCTTTTCATAGGTGACTTGATAGAGGTCGCTTTTGTAATGGCAGCGCAACCGAAACAATTACTATGTATATGCACCGGGCGACAGATAAAATCGTATCGAGTGATTTACAAGGAATTAGCATACGCCACTAATAAGCATTATCTAATCGCCCGACTAACGTACCATTAATTAATTATTAATTAATCAGGACGGCGCGAATCAATCTAATTTATTAATGCCCCGCCTGATTTATCGGACTGTCGATCGAACCGGGGGAGGCGAATTTACGATTAAGGGTTGATTATCTCAGAAGTCAAACGGGCTTTATTGTATATATACGATCAGAAAATCAAATTGTATACACTACAAAAAATGTTACAGAATATTACGTTGGCAATTTTGTTACCTACGTAATATTATGTAATTTTTAAATACGGTATATATACTGTAAAAAATTCTCTTAATATATTCTGGATACACAATTTATACGGTTAAATTACAGAATATATAATGTAATGCATTACATTTTTATGTAAAGTCTCGAATTCCGGTGTAATTTTACAATGTAATTTCAGTATTACCTGTCTAGTTCTGTAAATTTGCTGTATTACATGATAGGCTATGTTATATAGTTATTTACACAATATATTTTGTAAAAAATACATAATAAAAGAGGGAAAATTACAGATTTTTTTTTCAGTGTATATTATCGTCATCATCATCATGTTTATTGTGTATATAGATTGTATTTTTAACACGTAATCTTATAAGTATTAAGTTTTAGTAGGGGGTAGTAATAAATACAGTGACAATTTTGGGACACCCTATATATATATATATGGAATTATGCGCTAATTGGAGTTCAATTTAATAGTGTACCTTTATGAACAACAGATACAGGGTAAATTAAAAATTGCTGTATAAATTAATGCTGTAAAAAAATGCTTATTCGACGATCCAAAAATGCAAATTCACCCCCATTATTCGTCACATTTCAATTACGGGGTGCCTCTTTTACAACAAACAACGCAAAACTCATCTGCCCGATGATCTTTATCTTCCTATACATTTACAACATCAGATCTCATTATATTACTCCCCATTATCATCCCTTTCTCTCCTCCGAAACTCCAGGGGCGCATTCCCGACCTACAACACCCCGACCTATTCTAGGCTTATTCTCCTCTAATTTTACTCTTTTCATTTACACCTAAGATATTTGCTATATATCAACGAGAAGTTGTCTCAAATATTGACAGTTTTTGTTTGTGTGTAAAATTCCACAAAAAAATACTAGTAATTTATCGTGGAGTATTTATACATCAGTATAGATAAATTGAAAAATAAAATATTGCATGTAAAATGTAGCGATGTGTAAATTTCAGGGATCCTGCGCTGGCATCGCGAAGGGGGAAAAACGCAAAAACAAAATACAGTAACCGGGAAAAATAAATCAAAAGTGTGCGGGAAAATTTACGACGGAGAGCGGAGCGAGCAAAAGTTGCGTCGCACAATAGAAACGGGAGAGGATTCTTCGGGAAAAGTTCAGCTATTTTCCGCCGAGGGCAATTTATTTTTCCCGAGCCCCGGCCGGGCAGGCGGCCCTTATCTAAACAGCGGCGAAAATAATATCGCGCTGATAAGGGTCCGCGCTGCGGCGGCATCGGTATATACACTCCCGGGAATCGAATCTAAAAAGATAATTCATGTACGCCGAGGAATTTATGCAACAAAAAAATGTGTATTATATATCGGCCGGGTTTTGGTGCTTGGAGGAAAAAAAAGAGGAAACTGTCGTTTTCGGTGGTGTATTTTGTGTGTATGAGTCGGTTTGTATATAAATAGGGGATGAGAGGGAATTCGAGATGGCTGCGGGGCGCGTTTTTACATGTTTTTGCAATATGAATACTAAGTATCGTTTTTGTAACAAATATGATGTTATGTATACATCAGACACCACTTATAATGGGACTTCCGGGATGGATATATAACATGATTTAAAATCGAATATACGACAAGAAAGTTTTATCATAATGCAGGTAGAAGTTGAATAGGTAGAGGTAATTAAAATTTTCGAAATATTTTTCCAAAACGATTCTATAGTTCTATACCTATACGACTCAGTATGGGTATTAGAGGGTGCTTTAAACAAGATTTCTGGAGGAAGTTAAGATCTGAATAAACACCCCATCAATCAATGAATCCGTCTGATTTTCTTCTTCTTTCCGCATGAATTGCATCAAGAATTAAATTAGATACATGGAAGAAAACTTAAATATCATAAATCTATAATACTATGTTATCTTTTACATGACAAAATCCATCGCACATTTTATAATCTCCCTCAAACAATCAATTCCTTATTCCCTTATTCTCTTATTCTACATAAGATATTACCTCTACAATATCTAATATAGATGGTGTTTCATAATGACATGCTAATATTTAAGGGGGTGATTCTTGGAACCATTTTAAGAAAAAAACTTCATATGAACATATAGTATGTCCTAAACCTAAAATTTATTATTTTTTAGTTTCAGCACAGCGACTAATGTAGTGGCAGGGTACAAATAAATTCATTTATTTTTTTAAAACGAAACGATAAGTCGTACGGAAAAAAGTCAGGAATTCAAATTGATTCTAAATTGAATGAGCATTCCGAAAATATTTTTTATTTTAATATTAGGCAGTGGCGTACCTTCTTTTTCTCCAAAAATAATCAATGCAAAATTTTCTTCAAACTTTAACACCCTGAATCTCAAAAGTTAAGACGTTTAGGACATAGATTCATAAAAAGTTTTTTCCTTAAAATAGCTCAAAGAATGTTCCCCTTAAATATTATCATGTTATTTTGGAACACCCTGTATATAAATTCCCGCTCTGCCACCCATCGTAAACCCGTCATCTTATCGTCGCCCGAAATTTAAGAACTACTTAAAAACATTTAAACTTTTCCCGGCCCGCCGCCCGCCCGCCACCTATATATATACCGGAAGGTTGACGCTGCGCCGCCCCCGCGCGCGCTGCCCCCGAGAGTGTGTTTTAAAAGTTACCGCCATAAATCGTACCCGGATCTCTCCGGCGCGCCTTATCAGTCCCGCTGCGTCTTCTTAAGTTCCCCCGCGGCGCCGCCCCCGCCGCCCCCCCTCGCTCCGACTTCACCGTCGTCTGCGTCCCTAAGGTCCGCGTTACGTAATGTCTGTTTCGACGAGGTTTGAATGTCGCAGAGATATCTTCACTCCGCGGGGAACTCCGGGAGGCGGCCAAAACTGCGTTTTGTTAAGCATATATTTAACTATGTCAAGCGAGATGGGGGTTAGTAAAACTACAACCGGAATTGGGCAGGTAAAATAGTGCGCTGTCAGCTGTCACTTGTCAACAATTCAATGACACCTGTCAATTTGACGTTTTCGATTGAATGGTGGACGGAGGTATCGCGGAAATTAGCGCATCTTTCACCGCCAGCGGCGGCCGGCGCGAAAGAAATACAAGATGAGTTTAAAATCGGAATAAAAAAAAAAGATATCGCGGAACCAATACCCAGTCGTGAGCTCGGAAAAGGGGCAGCGATCTTTAAATGGGCGTGGCCGTTTGATTTGTGGTCGCCATTTTGTCAAATCGTAGTGTTTTGTTAGAAGGCTTATCTGATTGGGCGAGATCTCCGATCTCCCACCTATATTCCCCTATCAGTTTTCTCCCGCGAGGAAATCCTTTTTCCTCGATACACCCGGCTATCCGTCTAAATTCCTGAATCCTCCGAACTCCTTTTGAACCGACTACAAAAATTCACCGCGAAACATTTCGTCGCTAATTAATGCGAAAAAATAATTAACCAACCGTCAACTGTTACTCCTACAAACTAATTTAACTTGTTTGAACGTCCCCAACGCAACCCAACTACCAAAACATCCAGATATTATATTTTAATACAGCTCCTAAACAATGCAGAATTAAAACGTCTACTGGTTATCGACCCGCCTCGTTCCCAGGCCACTCCTCCGGAGCCCCAACCGACCAATCGACCGGCCGCGTTTTCCGGTTACTCGCGAAGTTTTCCGAGGCCGGTTGCCAGGGGATACCGATGTGTGGTTTGATCCCAACAGCTAGTATGTCCGTGGCGTTTGACGTGTTGATATCGACGCATACTGCGATATTTTTGTTTTTTTGTTAACAATGACCGAGTAAATGGAGATGAGTGATGTGCACGTATTTGACTGTGAACTGTGATAGTGGTGGTTTTTGTTTCGGATGATCTCAATCGGATTTAAGCTGAAATTGGTACGGTGGAATTTATTTATTCAAATAGATTATGGATAATTTTTGTTTGGATATTAGCTACTATTAAGTGGTTTTGTCGATGATATATGATGTAGTTTCGATGATAAGTTGCAATTATATGGTCATGATGATGTTGAATGATATTGATTAGGAATTAGGTGATTAGGAAAATAAATAAGTAAGTAGGTAATTTTAGATCTTGTGATTTGTAATCAGATAAAAAATTGTTTTGGAGTATTAATAAATATATATTTTTAGAGTAGGTACCTACTTATTATTATAAAGTTTTCTGCGAGAAAAAAAAAATCAATATTTTTGTGACTTTTATTTTAAACTAGCTTGATTTCAGAAACTTTGATTTCGTACAAATATTTTAATTTTAAAATCACCTTAAATACTTCATATAAAATTTAAAAAACACCATACAATAAATAACGATTAATTTAAATAAATCCTTTGCATTATAATTTTTGAATGATTAGTGATTAATTGGCACTATTAATATGCAATTTGCCGTTATAACAAAAATCACCAAAAAACTGGTTTTTTTCAACATTTTTATCGAAAACCTACAGCATTAAAATTCATATATTCCACAGCCGTGTATGATGTAGATAATTTTCCGTATCATTGAACATTGATGTGCACATTAAATTCATAACGATTTTTCGATGGGGCATTGTTGGAAAACCAAACTAATACAGGTGAATTCGTTTTGTATATTTTATAGTGATCGCTTTTAAATGCATTTATACAATAACGTGCAGACCGCATTTAAATATAGGTGGGTTACCGTCCTGACCGAGCATCGACATCTCTTTAATTAATTAGCATTAGATCGCGATTTCCTATTAATATTTCCATAATTAATTGCGATGACTAGATTAGGAATTTTAATATGTACAAATATATCATACATTCATTAAAATATTTTACTAATTTGAGTTGTTTTTGTTTATAAGAGTATTTCGTGTATAGTTGATGTGAAATAGACTGCTCCACAAAAGTTAAGGAAGTTCGCAAATTTTGCGATTATTTTAAAAGTTACAGACTTTTTGATCACCAAATTTTTATTTGCGCGAAATTAAATGTTTTCTCTAATATCTAAGTGGATTTTTTGCCCCTACCTCTACAACTCATACTAAATTTGCCGATCAAAAAACCTGCAACTTTTAAATTAATCTCAATATTTGTCAACTTCCTTAAATTTTGTGGAGCAGTATATTTGTAGCAATATTGGATAAATATATCAAAATCAGGAGTGGAGTAAGAAATTGAATCTACTCTTATTTTTTGTAATAATACCGAGTAGGTAGGAGTTTGTGATTTTACAATAAAAACAAAAACTCAAATAATTTGCATAACATTGTATGTAATTAATAGCTTTATCGTCATATACCTAAGTCAATTAAGATATAATGTATAAAGGTAGGAAGTTACATGTTGTATAGTCGCATAATTGTTGATAGCAAAATAATAATGAGTTTGAAAATAGGTACTTACTACCTATTATGTTACACGCAGATATCTAAATGTGTTTTGTTCTGATAAATAGAAAACAGAGAGCAAAGGTTTCTAATTAACGAATTTTAGAAATTTATAGGAGTATTATACCTACATATGTAAAAAAATAAAATTCATTTCGGTAACTCTTATCGTAATATATACCCGTGCATTATCAACAAAATATTACGTCCACAACAATTCGATAAAACCTTCAAGACACCTCGTTATCGCAGCTCAAATATTGACAAACCACTCGAACGAACAAAAATAAAATCTCCGCGAAAAATCCGATAAACCGATATCGATAACCCAAGTAGAATATCATTTTTTTTTCAATCACGGTATTTTTTCGTTTTCCAGATCGACATACACCAGCCGTCGCCCGTCGCTCCGCCAACAACCGAACCTAATATGATCCAAGAAACTATATAAACCAGTGATCCGTCGCTTATATAAACCAGCTCGATTTCCGCTAAATCAGCCTTATACACCCGATCGCCAGTTTCTGGATATTATTTCGAACGTTCCGTTTCGCGAGTGCCAGTGTCCGCTCCAAACCCAGTCATCCATGATTATGGAGATGACGAACGAACTAACGGTGGGCCGGTGGTACGAGTCCCCCAGGACGGGCACCTCGGCCAGTCCGGGCCAGGGCATCGACGCCGGCAACGCCGACATCGCCTCCGGCGTCGCCGAGCACATGGGCACCTTCTTCCTGGACCCGTCGGGCACCCAGAGGGCCCGGTATTACCACCAGACCATGCACGGATCCTACGGTAGTCACGGTATGTTCGCCTGCATCATTATCTTATCTATATTAGTTGATATCTCCGTTGTTTGTTTGTACCTAAAGTTCGGTTTTTGAGATATAATAAAGCGAGGGTTGGTGGCTGATGCGGTATGATTGAAGAGGGGTTTTGTAGTTATATATAGAGATTATTTTGTGGATGGTGTATGAACTTGTTTGGTTGGAATATATAGACGTTTTGGTGTCTGGAAAGTTCATCTTATTCACGGTGTAGATATTGAGGAAAATGTGTTTTGAATTGATAATTAAAGCTGCGAGGGAGAGTGTTTATTGTTGTAGTTAAAATGTATTGTTTTGAATAAGAGAAAATAGTGATTGTAGATGATGCTGTTGGATATAAAAAGCTTCGTTAATGGATAAACTATAATACATTTTGATTACCTTCTTCAGATGAGTAGAATTCAAAGAAAAAAAGCATTTTTTCCATCGCTTTTTATTGTAATTGTCACCAAACTTTGTCTTCAAAACAAATAACTTATTCGAAGTCTTTATATCTTTGTAGACATAAAAATGATGACAAAAACATCTTCCCACATCCATACAAGCAGTAAATTAAGAGGGAATATATACCCGAGTCGAAATTTGCGGTCGTTATAACCGAAATTTACGCATTATAAAAAAATCGGAATTCTCAATCGGGCGCATATTCCCACGGCTTTAACGAATCATACGAGGCACCAGTGGTATATACAACAGAAATTTCCGAGAATATGGTCACCACCTCGCCCGCACTCGACCGGAATTTCAAATTCCCGATTCCATCCGCGACCTGCGATCCGAGCAGAGAAGAAATAAAACAAATTCTCTTTTTCCTCGGCTATATTACACGGATCTTTCCGCTGTGTTTTTCGAGGTGCCTCGTGTGAAAGTCGAGAAATCCCAAAAATGTCATTGGTGTAATTTGTTTGACGGGCAAAAGGCTGGAATGTTCGATTTTTTTCCTTATTCTTTTCGAGAAACAAACAGTTTATTAACGAGCGTTTCGGAAATAAAAAATACGTTTGTTATTAGGCACGAAAAAACGATTATTTCGTATACAAAGTTGTTGCACGAATAAACAATATTTTATGCGAAGTCGCCGTTGAAATTCAACGAGTAGAGTCGAGTGGATGGTTTTATATCAAGATTTTCGCGGTGCTAAATTCAAAACTAACGAATTTACGGCCGCTTTTCGGGCGATTTACGATGCCTTCGCCGCGCTTTAAACACACCATTACGAATTCAACGCGAAGACAACTTTAAAAACCATTGTTAAATACATCCACAAAATCCAAACCGTCGCATTAGAATATAATATGCATATAACTTACTTATACTCCGTTCGCTAACAACCGATTATAGTAATAGATACATAGATTCAATGAGAAAAAAAAATCCAAAACTAATAATCACCCAAAAGAAGGTTTTAATAAGTATTTATCTATACTATCTCCTGATAGCGAACGGAGTATAATTTTGTAGGAAAATACACTGGTTAAAGAAATATATTCATTTCACTACAGGTCCACGAAAATTCTTCGATTTATGCTTATTAGGTGGATTGAGTGAATTTTTATTTCGAGTCGAGATGTTATCTCGCATAAATAACAGCGTTTAGTTGATAGAAAAGCGATAGTTTTTGGGTAAAACCGTATATTTAATACGCCTAAACTATCTACTTAGAGGTGTTGAATTATCTATTCCTCGGGCTGGTTTACAAAAAGGCCGCGACTATTTTAATTCCAATTTAGGCGTTTGAAACGACATAAATTACATTACATTTTCGATTATTAAAAACCTCACAAATACACGGGGTTAATACTGAAGTATTTAATCGAGCGAACATTTCAATAACGTTATACAGGTGCCCCGTGCATTCTCATTACTTCCACCATTCCCGCGTGTATTCCTACAAAAATTTCCTGTCATTAACGAAAGCCATTTATAATTCACAATTTACGGGCGACTCACTGGAAAATACCGAGAATTCTTTTGTCAGAATTTCCGAGAACACAACCAACTGGCTATAATATTTCGTATATATTTTCTCCACAATTCTTCGCTTTGTTAACATAATACTAAGTTTATAAAATATTTAAATTTATATAAGGATTTGTAACTAGTTTCGGACTGTTATGTATAACTCAAAATGTTATGGGGTAAACTGTTAGAGCTCCTGGAAATCCATTTGTTTGGATGTTTCGCGCATTGTTTCCCGGCTGTAACTGGAAAACGCGATCAATACGCGAGAAAATCGATATCGCATAATAAACCCATTACATTAACATGTCTCTAAAGACGGTTTTTGCTTTGGCTTTTCCCGAACGCGACAGCGGATAAAATGGAACTTTCGTCGTGTTTTCGCCGATGATTGATCGTATGTTTTGATGGTTTCCGAGTTCGCGAGTATTTATATTATAATTTAGATAAAAGGCCGCAACAATAGGGAACCGCGACTCCGGGAATTTTCTACAAACTTGTATAGGTATATTTATACGTGGGAATTTCTTTCGGATTTAATGCGGTGTTAAAATTATTAATGTTTTATTCTGTTAGTATCTATGCAAATCGTTTCGTTATAGAATCGTAAATTCCGAAAGTATTTACTAATTAATTACAGCACTTATTAATAATCCAATCGATTATTAATCTCGCTATAAGCTCTCGTAATGCGAGCCAAAAGATGCACATCAATATGCTCAAAGTGCAAGACGTTATCGCTTAATTAAATGATTCATCTGTACCTAAAAGAATTAACTAACGATTCGAATAAATGTATAGGCACGTAATTAATAATCACTTCATTATTACAAGATGAATATTTACTTATTCATTAAAGTCGCTCTACAGCTAATCAAATGTTATATGGATTTTTTAATTGAGAAGTCGGCAATAATAAATTGTATTGATGGTAATTCTGGAACAGTGTTCTGTAAATTTACTCATTGCTTAAATTTTTATTCCATACATCACGTTGAAAATCGTCTCGGGACGGGTGGGTTTGGTATGTGGACGAGATAGAAGCAAATTATAGTCATCGTTGGTATGGAGGCTACTTATTAGGGACCCACTTACACGGCGACTTCTTTTTTTTGTTAATTCGATAATCCACGTTATTAGGCTTTAATATTATATTTTGGTCGTGCGAGTATTAATTTTCCTCGAGGTCAATATATCGGCCGGGGTCTCGATCGAATCGGATTTTATTATTATTTTTTTTTTTCGTTGGTAGGTACTTAGGAGAAAACGGTTTACCCACTGACCGATTACTTATCGCATATTCCCCGTATACACACTCCCTATTAACAAGTTGTAATTGCACGCCTGTTTATAGTAAACTGGCAATGTAATGATAAAGTTTTTTTTTTACATCAACTTTAATAAGTAGCAATTTATTTAGGAATTAGTTGGATGTGAGGTGTAATTATAAATCGCAAGGTGGATAGGCTGAAATTAGATTAATGAAATTGCTGTTAAACGAGTTTTGAACTATTTTTAATATAGTAGTAGATATTAATTCCTTATAAGTACTTATTGATTGGTATATGCATCTACAGTATAATAGAAATAACTGGAGATATTGGGGTATTAACATTGCCTCTATTTAGTCTATACATAAAGGAGTTCCTTTACTTGATACATCTACAGTATGATAGAAATAGCTGGAGACATCGTATTTACAGTATCTCCCTGTACCATCTCAAAAAAAAAACCATCGAAACTAGTTTGTTATAAACATGCGCAAATCAATTTTTTGCCTCTATCTAGTCTATACGAGAAACAATTTCCCATCACAGGCAAAAAAAACCCGGCACTGAATCGCACAATGAACCACCGGTTTGAATAGAAACTCCGGGCGACAATTTCTTTACGCCGGTGCGACTTTTCGAACGACACTTGTATGTACAAGTCGGCCTGAAATACTATCCGTTTGCTGTTTCGACGAATAAAAGCTGGTAAGTCGATAGTACTATATCTCAGAGCCGACGCGATCATAAAAACGTCGCGCTCCGCGATATTTACCCTTGTGCCCAGGTACTTACGGTACCGTCGCATAAATACCGAGCGTACACTCAACGCGGTACCCGGACCCATTGCCGTACCGATTACCTCTAATCTCGTTATTTTTCCCGCGAAAAAAACCACCCGCGAAATCCCCCAATCTAACGTACAACGCACCCCTCACAACCCCGTACTGACGTCACTACTACAACGTTGCCACGTCGTAACATTTTTCCAACGAATCGCTGGTTTTTTTTAGAGAGGTTTCTACGGCACTGCTCGAGTTGGATTACGCAAACACAAGTGCTCTTCTTGTAGTGAAATGACCGCGACATGCATCTACCTCAAAATAATTGGAATAAGCATGAAACCTCGCGCATAATGGCGGGTATAATATTTCGAAACGGGCCCGGCTAATTGAGACATAAAAAAAAACGAAATGCAAACGGCTCGTTCGACGTGGAGCGCAAGCGTGGGCGTCTCGAAGCCATTATCAATTTGTTGACGACGAAAATGCATGTAGAATATGAAAATATCGTTTTAGAAACAGGCGCTTACGGTGCGATGGGGATAGCTGGAGACGTGAAGTGCGCTGAACGAATTGAAATAAAAATTCCCGTGTACTTACGAGCGCATATTTGGTATTTAAGCGAGGCGAAATGTTTAAAAGAAACGGTTTGTTTAAAGTAGATTTAACCTTATAAAATATCGATCGGGGTTCGGGCACGATCTCGAAACCATCGAGGCATTTTTGCGCGCCTATATTTTTCGAATTTTTTCCCACCAATTTCGAAACTGGACGGATAATATACCATAACTTTTTATTGAAATTGTCCGCATTATGCTTTGCAGAAAAGCAACCTTTAAACATCCAACAATTACCTAACAAATAACTCATTGAAACGCGGCTATTAAGTAAATAATGCAAATTACGACCCAGTTATGATAGTTTCTTTATTATTGCCAATAATACGCTTATAATAGCGCGTTTTCAGTTAAACGCGCGGGCACAAAGGTTCCAAACACAGGAAGGAAACCGACCGATAAAATCTCATCTGATCGCGGCAACCTCGCTCTCCTGACGAAATAAACAACAAAAAAAAATATAACGTAAACAACTAGCCCGGTTGCCAAATCCATCCGCAACCATTAATCAACAATTTTTAATTCATGCCTATAAAACAAACTATTTTTGCTAAAATGTTGCCCAATTGAATCTTCTTCTAAACACTACCTATTTATTACTGATTGATGAAAGTTAAAGTTAAAAATATTGATCCAAAGTGAGTTTAATGTGTATCATTTATTTATTTAAGAGACAAGAAAATAATTTACAGATCCAAGATTTACTCATATGATTGACTCAATTATTGACTCAAGAAAGTCAATTATTTACTCAAGAGAGTCAATTTACCAGATAGAGTTAATTCTTCAAGGAAAATTCTTTTGCTTGGCAGTATAGAATAAATAAAAATTGTTATTGAGAAACTTCAATCGAGATTCCTCCGAAATTTCACGTTCTAAAAAACGATGGAATCGAAATAAAAAACCAATTTTTAGCATTTTCCCAAAACGGGCCGAAAATTGAAATCGCTCGCATCAGAATCCCGTGATTTATGATCGACCCTAATGACCGCACATTTGCATAATAGTCGGCAAAAAATCGGGCCCCCGGCGTCTCTAAAACGGCCTGCAATTTAATTTGAATACAACGCTGCACTGTGTTATTTCCACAAACGAAAAACCAGGACCGGCCCGGCGCCGCTTCCCTCGCCAAACCCTCTCCGTTCGACGGGCGAGCAAAAATCGCCGACGGGCCGGGGCCGGCCCTGCCGGCGCGAAATCGAATCCCCGTTCAACATGTGCTTCAAATCATACAGCACGTCTGGAAAATACACACCGAAGCTCTCTATATCTCGTTTATACCGAGCGCACTATCATAAAGCAAGCGCATTTTCAGATTGGCATGCAATATAATATGGCGTGATCCTCCGTACTCCGGAAAATAAATATAAGGTCCGACGGCTCCAGGACGCGCGGCGTTGCCGTTGCCTCGTCGCTAACTGATTTATAGGGAAATGTTTTTTTGTTATAGTCCGTTCGCCATCAGGTGGTAGTGATCGAACCTTCTTATAGGTAGGTGGTCTGGGTTTAGAAATGGGTCGAGTATTGTTTAATACCCTATACAGAGTGGTACTAAACAACTTTATGTCAAACTAAATCGACATTTACAGTAGTATATCCTATAGGTTTTATTGCCATTTTCTGATATAGCTTTAGTTAGTTTAAGAAGTAGATTTATTGGGAAATTTCGTGTTCGTGGCAACGTTGCGGGAGACTTAATTTCGCTCGGCCATTTTGCAAATAAAGCCGTATTCATATTTACGAGGGAAAAAAAAAACAAACGGCAGAGGTTATACCAGTTTCGTGTCTTCTGATATTCGGAATTCACGATAGCGGGGTTCAGTTACGCCATAAGATGGTGACGAGATTAGATAATTTGCGATTACTTATGCATACATACGCAGCGAATCGTCGGTGTAATGTACGATTTTAATTCAACCCGTTAATTTGGTCGCTTTTATCCGCGAATTCCTATCAATCGATACGACAGGAATTTCCAAAAGTACTTGCGAAAAGTGCTCTATTTTTGGCGTAAAAATGAGATTAAATTACACGCAGATTAAGCGAACAATAACAAAAATTATCTGCGTATATACGCTCATCTATTTTGATTTATTTTATCTAAATACAACGCTCGAAATCAAAGTTTAATCGAGCACTTATAGATGCAATTGTTACTGTCAAACAATTCCACTTCTTTCATCCGCTCTTCCCTTCTCCTGTGCACAACTGGTAACTTTTTTAACGCGTGCAATTCAACAAACAAAAAACCCCAAAGATAATTCCGACCGATATTCCTGCGGGTTACGCGCGACGGTCACGCGAGCTCTCGGTTTTTCGGAGAAATCGCAGAAACGTCCGCAAAAGCGGGAGCGAAAGAGGAAAAAACAAAGCGCGGATTCGCATCGGGCATGCCTATATACTTTCCGCGACCGATACGATCGATTTCCAATGGAGATAGGATCGGGTGTTCCGCATCTGCAACTCCTAATTAATTCAAATGATGAGGTGCACGATTTAAATCACCGAAATCACCGAAATTAATGGCTATCAGATTGCCAACTGCGAACGTAATGTGTAATTATTTCCATTATGCGAACAAACAAAAAAATACTGTTACGTTATGCGCCGAACAGTGCCGGGGAAATTCGGTTGGAAACGTTCCGATAAATTCGGCAAAAAGGCATTTCTCGAGCGATAACGATCGAGCCCTGTATATACACACACGCATAAAAGGAACAATGAAGCGTTCAAAACGAAAATTAACCCATCAAAGCACCGTTCGCATCGCCCAGAAAAAAAATATGTCAACTCAAAAGTAATCTCAATTGCAGAACACAAAGCCCCAAAAACACAATCAATACACCTCTAAATGGATGTCCGACGCAGGACCGGCTTCCGCTCTACTAACTAAACCGAACCATCTTTAATACAGCACCCATCGCAATCCTCCCGAATCCCACCCTGTCGATCGCCCGGCATTTTCACACGCCTCGCGCTCCTTCCGTACGGCCACCCGAACAAAAAAACAAACCCCTTTTATATACATTTTTCCCCGACGACCATCTGCGGATGTTCGTTATATATACGCGGCCCCGAATCCCCGCTAATCTCGCCCGCTTATCGCCGATCGCATCGCCGATAATCCGGATAGGGATAGGACAAGCGGCCGCCATTGGGGCGGGAAACCATGATGGCGGCCCCGGCAGGTGAGCGCCCCGACCACCCCGTTCCCGTTTCGCTTTCTCCCGGTGCAACTGCCGCGATTATTTGGCAAATGGGAAGAGGGTCGATTCGAGGGTTGGACAGATGCGGACGAGAAAACATCCACCGTCGGGGCGCCGACACGCTGCGACGATTCCAGCTATATGCGGGCCCAGTTTTTCATGCATTAAACCCACTATTCCTATACAAAACATTCTTAAAATGCGCCTGAAAAATATACACACTTTCTAAATGTTATACACTAACTCCTGCATTATCTCATACATTATCTCATCCCATACATTATCTTGTACATTATTTTGTGCATTATCTCGTGCATTATCTCGTGCATTATCTCGTGCATCATATTGTGCATTATCTTGTGCATTATCTTGTGCATTACCTCATCTCATACATTATCTTGTGCACTAACTTGTGCATTATCTTGTGCACTAACTTGTGCATTATCTTGTGCATTATATTGTGCATTATCTCATCTCATACATTATCTTGTGCATTATCTTATGTGTTGTTTTGTTGGTTTCAGCGTCGAGGATGTCGTCGTCGCAGGTGTGCCGGCCGCACTTCCACGCGCCGCTGCACCCGTGGCTGTCGGACGGCGGCAAGCCGCTGGCGCACTCGAGCCCTTGGGTGCCGTTCGGCGGCGGCGATCCGGACAAGTCGCAGTCGCCGAGTTCGGCGCCGTCGCAGGCGCACAACATCTTCTCGTTTCCGCCGACGCCGCCGAAGGATTCGACGCCGGACTCGGTGGCGCCGTCGGGCGGTGGTGGTGGAGGAGGAGGCGGCGGCGGGCCGGAGTACCAGAGCGCCGTGTCGGCGGCGATGGGGGCGTTCATGCACGAGAACGCGCAGAGCTGCGCGTTGGACGTGAAGCCGTCGGGCGTGAGCGCGGCTAACAAGCCGCGGGAAGGTAATGGATTTGATGCATTTAATGGGCAGTTGCACTGATATGCATCCTAGGATGGATTTTTATCCTAAGTCAGACATAAAGTTTCAAAACAATTATGTATACTGTTGCACCAACAAAAAATCTCTTTTCTGTGATACGAATCGATCGCAGATCCTAGGTGATCGATTTAAGATGACTTTAAGATGAAAATGTTATACTCAAAAAGTTGAGAATTGTCGGGACAGTTGTAAAATTATGGATATAAATGCAGATATAAATATTGTAGTTAATGTAGATATAATAGATGATGTAGAGGAAGAAATTAATGTGGTAGATGTTCCTAATGCAACGACAAATTCGAATAAGAACTAATTATTTTGAAACTTTCTCCGAGGAAAAATTTTTTAAAAGGTTTCTTCTGCAAAAAAGAACGCCCCTACAATTCTTTAAATTTAACCAAAATTTAATTATGAATGCACTAATTTCTTGGTTACAGGTTACAGGATATGTTAAAACCTCAACTTCTTATTCTTTTGATCTTTTTTCACTGACCCCTAACAACTATAATAGGTTATTTTGACATTTAAAATAACAATCATCTCCTTAATTCTTTTCAAGTTTTTCAACAATATTGCTACATTTCCAGTTGTTATCTAACTTAAAATAGATCGTAGGTAAAATATCCTTTTTTGAACACGATGCAACATATTCCAATCTTAAGTATATCCCACATTTAAGTCAGACTTAGATAAAATTATAACCTAGGATATATCGGTGCAACCGGTCACAATTGCTCTACAAATCTCCCTGGAGTTCCTCTATAATTTGTGATATGTGATTGTGTTTTTGTAGGTGAATATGAAGGGGGCACCACCTCCGGCATGTTTAATGGTAACTTTGAGGGCACCTACGGGTCTGCGTATGCCCACGGTATTCACGCGGGGGCGTACTCGCCCCAAAATAAGCAGCATCTGGGCGGTTCGGGGGGACAGAGCGTTCAGTCCCCCAACAAGCCCCGGAATAAATCTAGAACTAGCGCGGGTAAGCGACACAATTGGGGGAAACGGTGACGGATTTTATTAACCGAATTAAACAGTTTTTTTAACATATTTCTGCAATATATTTTTCTGGATTTTCTCTAATCGATTTAGGTTGGCATTTTAAGATATTGTGGGTACTTTTTTTTAATTGTAGCTAGTCACTTATCAGTCTTATCAGTATACATACATCAGTACCTAATTGTTTTTGATGGGAAATCTTACTACTAATCTAATCTCTACTACTGTAGTACCATGCAAGTAATTATTTATAGTACCATTATATTGCAGTAATGTATGTTAGGAAGATTTTTTTCTACTCCAACAATCGTGTATCTAATACTTTTTAAACTAATGTTGCAGATGATATACTTACACAATCGTTTATATATTTTATTTTTATTTAGTTTATTTTAAATTTTCTAACTTGCTTTTACTCGGTGTTTGGTTGTTTTTTTAGTTTTATTTTTGTTTTTAATTGGTATTCAGTGCTTGATTGAATAAAATTAACAGTAACATAATTATGAAATTTTTTCGATCGTGCTTTAACAAACGCGATTTTTATACATCGCCCGATCTATCAATCTTGGTAGTAAGATATTATTGATTATCTCTCAAGATTGTTTATCGCTAACATAAATTATTTAGTCGATTATTCACATCGAATCGCTATCTCTCGAATAACGAGGTTACAAAATTAACAGCCGCTTTACACTGAATATCATTTCGTTTATGTTTGTTTCGTTTTTATTTAGTCGAAATCGTATATCAGCTAATTAATCTTATACCGGGTGCTCACGAATTTTTTTTACAATTTTGTTTAATTTTTGTTATAAGCGCGTTGCAATCAAAACTCTCCGTACTTTACAAGCTTCTTTTCGACACGATTCTGGATACATTTTTGTTCGATTTATTTTTTGGTGTGCATCTCACACGATTTTTGCGGCGCCACGACAACAGCAGCTGTTTTTTTTCACACGAATTTTTGCGAGCCGCACGATTTTTTTGCGAGCAACAGTTTTCTTGAGATTCCACAATATGCAGCGCGAGAACCAAGGGGGCCTAATCGCATTAACGAAATCGAGAGGAATCGTTAAAATTTGCGGTTAGAATACGGTTGTAAAGTGGGGCAATGTGCCGTGAAATTGATCGGTTTCGGCGTTTAACTCCGGTCGGGGGTGGTAACGCGGCAAAAACGAACCATCAAATCGATTCTCGGCCCGTTGTATTATACGAGGGATGCTCTCGAAGTCCTGCGAATCCCGCTCTAATTACATTAGTTTGTATGCAAAATTTACAAGTTCCTTCCCTAATTAAATTAGGATCGAAGCGAGTAATCAAAATATTTAAACAAAAACTAATTTATTACATCTAACGCGTTCGATTCAAAACGCTATAGCACGAAAAAAGCTTTAATATTTCAAACGATTCAAATTCAAATGAGCACCGGGAGAGAAAGGCCTTTCGAACGGGCTCCATCAATCATCCTCTCCGATTGGAAGATTTAGTATTCGTGTTCGGAAATTTGATACAGATTGCGGCATTAACATATTAATGGACGGCGTGGAAATGGAAATAGCGCGATCCGTTTCTACGATTCCATAATCGAATTAAATTGTGAATCCTTCGAACGGCCCAGCATCTCGTTGTACCCGTCCTCGTTCGAGCTTCAATTAGCAAGGGGAGCGGGCGCAGGGCGTCGGTTTATGCGGGCGAAAACAATGCCCGATCGTCCGGCACGTCGCTAATTAGACATTAGACGGTGCCCGCGGTTCCCACGCGAATCGCGCTTAGGTGGGAACCGAGAATCATGGACTCGCGCGGGGCTCATTACGCAGTCACTTTTGGTTTTCTTTCGGTGCGAACGATTATTTATTTTTTTTTTAATTAGATTTCTGCACGCATACTCTCCTGCGAGGTCGTTAAAATGGCGATGGCGCGCCGGCCATTCCTGTATATACAACTATTCGAAGGGAAATTGTTTGGTTCAATGGAATGAACTTTCTTATTTGATGAGTTTTTTTTAATGAAAATTGCATTCGGTGAATTTTAATCGGGTTTAATGAATCGCCCTGTATTTGCAGAGATAGTTTATATGTATAGTCGGTGCAAAACAACGTCACCTATAATTTACTACGTCACAAGTATAGGCAGTGTTGCCGAAGTTTTATAGAGTTTACAAAATCTAAAGAATTTTCTGAAATTGTCAAATGGCAAAATGACGAGAACAAATGGAAATTTAGAGGAAAATTTCACGTTTCTAAATGGCCCGGACGTATTCAGGGGTTCATTATAATTAATCATCAAATTCCTTTATCATCTGAAATATATTTAACAGTGCGAGTAAAAAATTTAGTGTACAATTGACCCTTAAAAGAGTACATAGTGAAATTTCTGAGAAAACTTCTGAATCTGAATTATTTAGAGCTCAAATTGTGTCATTTCTATAACATGTGGAAAAGATAACTACGCAAAAAATTCTTATTTCTTGATTATCCGGCTGAATAGCCCAGTAGTTGAGGCTAGTAACTTATAGAAAAAAGAAGAAGAAACAAGGCAACTAGGCAAATTGACAGTCAGTGCCTACCAACCTACTATAAGAAAATAATTTTTTGGATGATTTAATTCTGCTTTTTAACATTTTCTCTCATCCATTGTTAATATTAAATTAAATTCTGCAGGTATTTTAAACTTAATCTATTTGTGTATTTATTTTTAAAAGTTGGTCACAATGCTTGGCAATTATGACGACAGTATAGTGACGTGCATTGATATTAGTTTTGCACCGACTATAGAACGATTTTTTTGGTCAAAATTGTATTCAACGAATTTCATCTGTATCCACTTCTGTACCTACTATAGCAGATTTGTCGAGTTTTTATACTATAATTTGCGATCTTCAGTGCGAATGTATCCCGGGCCCTAAGCCCTTTGTGCTGGCCAGATCACGCGAAAATATGTCAAGAATAAGCACTTGAGGCAACAACGGCCGCAAATGCGGCCGCAATCCGGCGATATTGTGCGCCTTTCCGGCGCTCTTCCGACGAATTTAAACCGATTACTCCGGCACAATGTTGCGTTTTGCTACCCCCGAAACCGCGCCGGGCACCTGGGCTCCATTCCAGTCTAATTTCCGAGCCATTCGGGCGTGTAACGGCCAATTTTTCCGATATTATACTCACGACGGGCTAAGCTGTTAATCTCCGAATAAATGCGGGATTTCGCTGGCTTGTATGAGGTCGCTTTTTGTTGCGATTGATCGAAAATAAGGTGGGTTCGAGGATGAATTGTTATTTAGTTGATATTTCGAATGGAATACCGCGGACAAACGTATGGTACCCAATATGTATAGGTAGATACTATATAAAAAATTTCCAGTAGGTAGTTTATATAGTTTTGATTATATGCATGCGAATATTAAATGAAGTAGTATAGAGGTATTAAAAGTACCAATCAATAGATATACAAATACATTAAATGCAGCATAATAAACAAACAACGACCCGAAGCATTTAACAAGTATGTACATTATACATCGAATACACCAAATCGAAAAAAACGGCAAAAACCCGTAGACGTTCCTGCCGCTTGTAAATGCTAATTTCCATCGGTTTCGAGTCCTGTTCTTACCAGCCTGTATACACACGAAAGTTAAGCGAACTTTTTTAAACTTGCGCTTTCTCGCATTTAACTCTAAATCACTTTGTCACAATAACTCCGCTACTAGGACACACTGACGACCGTGTGTGGTCCCGCCATGTTACCAACCTGACCGTTCTAATTGTATATAAAACGGGGAGCCTTAATTGTTATTCTAAATCGTCGAGCTTAATGAGTAAAGTCGCTTTTTATTCGCCTTCACTTAATTGCATAATGCTGATTTATATTTTTACTCGTCGTACTTTTATCGCCAATTAATTAGAGTTGGGTATGCTAGGAAATTTTGATTTGTTTGGTTGGTATTGTCAAAAAGTTTTTTTGGAAGTGTTATTTTTGTTAACACCCAACTCTAGTACAATACATTTTTCCCTATCTAATAGATATTAATAACAGGTATTAGAGATGGACGATTATTAAAATATACAGTTATTTTTCACTCACTTTAATTAGTTGCATTTATGTTAGGCTTATTATAATGCACGTAGCAGCACGTTTAATGTACTAGTAAATAAATGCATGCACCTCCTCAAAGGGGTAGGTATATAACGAATGAAAGAATTATCTCATTCATTTCAATTCGAATTAACTAAGCCATTTTTTACTGCATGCATATTGAAGGAAAAATACGATTCCAACCAGTTTGTTCACGTTTTGTTTTTGTTTGTCCAGAGGGCAGAGAGTGCGTGAATTGCGGAGCGACGAGCACGCCATTGTGGAGAAGGGACGGCACCGGACACTACCTCTGTAATGCCTGTGGTCTGTATTACAAGATGAACGGACAGAACAGACCTCTCATCAAACCTAAAAGAAGACTGGTGAGTGACTCAATTACCAACTCTCTATAATCGCTTCATATAACTGTTATATTGTAACGTAAATAACGCCACCTCTACACTTTATAAATTGTTCCCACCTCTACACTAAACGTCAAAAATCAATTCGAGATTGACGTTTGTGACAGTAATCGGATATGACTACTCAACCTACGTGTAGTGAACCTAAATGTATGCGAAATCGGCAGTGAAGTAACATTTCTTCGATTATAAGTGAGAAATTGGTGCGATTTCGGGCGCTAAAAACCCGAATTATCCTCGCGAATTACTGCCTCGGGGCGGGCCTCTCGAAAACTTCCACTTCATCAATAACTCGACGTGAAAGGTGGTACTTAGGATTTTAATATTTAAAGTGATAACGAGGGTTATTTGAATGAAAGCCGGGGGGACACCTGCCGCGTTTTGGTGAAAAAAAAAACGGGGAAATAAGGAAGGCGGATAAATCACCGACATATGTACGCGTTAATCAACTCTCGGGGGTATATTTTCCGTCGATTTATTATCGAAATTAATCGAAATTAATGTCAACGAGACATTACCGCTGGACGCTCCGGATTTATAGACCCTTCGATGGATGTCTTCGCGATCTAATAAATAATACATCGAGCAGAAATAAAGTTAATTTATACGGCATTGAGCGCGCGCCTATTGCGAAACGGCGTTTTCTCTATACTGAAATCGTTCTGCGTACGATTCGCAATTAATCGATCGGAAGCCTCTCGTATATAAAAATGCCTTTCGATCGGAATTGCATCGAAACAAACACGTTTCCGATGCTGGATGCATCGAGTACCAGCACCAACGCCTACCATATTCGTTATGAGAGCTCTTCTCAGGCATCTATACTCCTTTCGTCATCGAGAGATAGTAATAAAATCATTTTTGTTGTTATAAAGTGACTCACAGTACACCAGTAGTGCTTACTTTTGGGATGATTATTATACAAAATTATACTATTTAGTATTTTATTTTCTGTTGGTGAACGCGGAGTATAAAACAGGTTGATGAAAGTTCGATGATAATGTGGTAATAAAATAATGCTCTATTCAAACAATTTCTGTTTTTTTGATGATACAATCATACTTTTCTAAAAGAATAAAAATCTCCCGATGGCGATCGGAGTATAAGTAATTGAAATGGCCGTTTCGTTTTTATTGTATCGATCGTTTTCTAATTAAGACTCGCGCAGGAAATTATCGATAATGTTTCTATATATAGGATGTATCTGTATTTGTAGTTGTATCGATGGATAACATAACGTAGGCATCGAATTTACGAGCGTCTAATTTCGACCTTATTTATTACAAAACGCCGCGCCCAGGCCCCGGACTAACTTTCCAAATTCTTATCCCGGCAAAAAATACAATTAATAATATTCACTAATCGACAATAGCGCTGATACGGCTTGTCATTCGCATATACCTCGCGCGGCTACCAGACTGAAACAGATTTGATTACTTAATTTATATTAATTACCTACAATACAAGCGGCATTTGGTATTATTCTATCGGTTTCACAATAACAATTTCTATACACATCAAGTACGCTCGTGTAAAAGACCGTACAGTTCCGTTTGGCTCGGTCCAATCGAAAAACATTTTCGATTTCCGATCGCTCGATTCAAGGATCCCGATTTGATTAATCGCCCCGCATCGATTTCGCGGATCTCGCCGACGATGGCGCTTTTATTGTCGCCAGGAGAAGGCGCTCGTTCGCCGTAACAATGCACAAGTACGACCGAAAGAAATAGAAAGGGTATTTTCGATACGCAATCCGCGCTCTAGTTAAATCCGGCGAGCGCGGATTACGAAATTATTTTACACGAATACATCGCGGGTAATTCGGAATTTGCTCGTTGTAATTTGTAATATCAGAATTCCGTCTTGTTCTCGAGTGACTTATAGGATAATATACTCCGTTCGCCAACGAGAGATCGCAATAAAACCATCCCGGAGCGCTCCGTCGAGTTAATAATTACACGAATTACACGAAAAAAAAATCGCTCCGTTACAATTAGACATCATCTTTGGAAATCGCTGTAAGGTCATCGTCGCGTCGATCCCCGCAATTGTTCGTCGAGCGTGAAACGCTGTGGAAACGTTGATGCAAATTTTAATTGTTTGATGATTCCGAAACGGCGGGAAAAAAACGCCGCGTGAAGCAACCCCGGGATGGTTTCGTTACGACCGCGATTTCTCACACCGGCGAAAATTGCGGCTGCAACCTCGGTCTAATTTTTTAATAACCGGCCCATTGTTTCTAGCTATCGAGGCGTCGTCGTTGGGATTTTTCTCTGTAAGCAGGTACGAAGAGTACTCCGAAAAGATTTTTAGAAATCCGAGGCGCCACACAGCCTGAACCGTGCTCATTATAACAAAGTAAAACCCTCGAGGTATTTACCTATTATTGTATTATTGCCCCTGTAGACAAGTGTTTGCCACTTGGCCACTGTATTTCTCCGTCGAAAAGAAACATGAAAACATCATTGTTGAGAAACCTACCGGGAGCGCTCGATAATTTCGTTCGCTATCCACACAAAGCTCTCAACAGGTATAGGACCGGGCGATTAGAGATGTTAAATGCGATTGTTGTTTAATTACAACGGGAGCTCGGTATATACAAAAAAAGAAACTCGGGGTACTCGAGACGGTACGCGTGCTGGGCTCCGGGCGACTTCCCGAGTTATTTTGTTATAGAAAATTGCTATTATTACGTCGTCAGAGCTGTTTGTATAAAAACCTGACGGAGCGGTTATTTCAGTTTTACGGCGTTGATAAATAATTACGTGGTAGCTATTAAATTAGAACTACTGCGATTGCCACTCACGACCGACGCTTTTCAGATCGGCTGCGGATAAGGCGAGAGGGGCGCATTCCTGCTCGGCCTGCACCGTTAGAAAAATCCCCAGCATTTCGTTCGACGCGATGGCGCGAAAAATTTTCTCCGTACGCGTTTCCTAAAGCGATAAATTTATGGTTTAATTACGGTCGAACAATTACTCCGACGTTTTACAAATAACTTTCTTAACGACCCGAAGATTTCACCAATTCCAATATAATAAAACCATCTACCTAAACGCTCGTTTCCTACATCAAAAGTCGCTTGTTTCATTAGTATTGACAAACGTTCTGCCGGCGCGCTTTCTCCGTTTGCAACAAAAGATTGTACGGGGAAATGCTGAGGGAAATTTAAGGCTCATTACGCTCGTAGTAATTTTAAAAGTTGCTAAATAGGCTCATATAACTCAGTTAAACCGCTGAGAAAACCCCCATTAAAAGCCGTTTTAATTCTCGCTACCTTTATATAAGCTAGAGAGTCAACAAACATTATAATTTTGCTCAAATTCAAACACTCATTTACACATCTTTATCTCCACTTTCTAGCTAGCATCGCTTGAGCATATTCGCGCTAAAAAACTCGCTGCGCGAGCTCGATTGACGCCCGAACAAAGCACCGGCTATCTCGTTGTAATTTCGCCGGATTTCCATCCGAAAAACGAGACGAATTAAAATAACATTCGAGCGGACCGATCCGTTGTCCTAGCGAGAGCCCGCGCGCGATTCCATCCATTATTCATTGCCTCCGAACGAAAATAACGAATAACAAACGGCGCGAGTTGGCTCGGGTAATAGCGCAGAACTCATTAGTTTATGAAGGGAGGCATTGAGCGCGCGGACCGGCCCACTCAGACGGGCCAGTTAATTTCGAAAATTCCCTCATGCATTCAGAGATGTCGCGGCCGCGATAACGGCGGCTCCCGCTTCCGCACCGCGCTCGAAATTCCTATACCAGAGAGACAGTTTCGTTCTAAAAAACACCCCGTTGTATCCCACCTCGCGAGCTCTGTTCTGTTCGTTAATACAGCGGCTCAAGAAGTTGGTAAAAGTGGAGAGAACAAAAAGTGTCCGGACCTTAGACGATCGGGACCACATTATGTACGTTTCAAATTGTAAACCTCAAACGCCATTGTGCTTAAAATGCCGGAGATTAGCATCTGAGATGGTGATAAGGATTGGGACCACAATGCCCAACGAAAAATAACAATGCGCCCGTGTATGAAAGCAATTCAATTTACTTTAATGAAAAAAGTCGTATAAATTATGAATGTCGCATATAGCGACGTGAGGATTCAATTATATTTTCGATAATGGCTTTCTACCAACGGCACCCCGCGTAAGAATATACCGGGCGAACGGCGAAAAAGAGCACACACGTCCGGGTAAATAGGAAAGTTATCGGGCGTACATTCTTCGAATTCATCTTCGAGTAGGTATTATTATAAACAAATATTCAAAAGCGATGTTGTACAAGCCTATTAATGACAAGCGAAAATACGAAACAACCGAAAACAATGCCGATAACATCGCTTGTACGCCGGCCCATATCGAATTACCAGCCCGGCGTTTCGTAATAATGTATACGGTGTAAAAGCTATTTATTCAAACGTCGGTTAGTAGAGCCGCGGGAAAATGCGGAGCTCTCTCTATCGATCTCTACTCATCTCTCTACTCTCCACCGGAGATCGATGCGAGCCGGTAAATAGACACGTCAAATGCGGACCAGCATAAAGAATCTCTATCGAATTAATTTTCCCGTAATTTCGTTGTACCAGCGGTGACAAATGTCGGTTTTGAGAACGCGACAAGTCGCATCCGTTCCGCCGCTCATTTGCATATTTAATAAATGCCACCATCGGACGAAATAATCGAACGCCGGGGAAGGCGATGTATAACAAAAGGGGACAAGTTACAACTCGCACCGAAAATAACAACATCAAACATTTATAATTCCGGAGCGCCCGGAGCGCCGATTTCTCCTCCAGGTCTGGAGCCAAACTCCACCTCTTATTAACCCTTCTAATAACACACAAAACATGCAATTCTATAATGAATAGTAGATTATTTCAATACCAGTATAGGTACTTCTAATTCATCGTTATCGTCAGCAGAAACATTGCTGGGTATTTCGCTGCAGTTATTCG